GCCCAAAGGAAACCCAGCGGTGCCGGCAGCTTGCCCTGCCCTGACGAGTCAGCACACCTCCACATTCACTGCCACACCTCACCTGGCTTTCCACAACACTGCATGCGTGATGACACCAGTGATCTGCTCCGCACCTACCGCCTCCAGAAAGACCGTGACTTTGAGGACCCCTACAATGGGCCTGGCTCGTCCCTGCACAAATTGCATGCTGTGTGCCACCCAGACTACTCGGTGCCCGAGGGCCTGAGTGAGGCCAATTGTGCACCTGGCTCCCCGTGCCTCTTTTGCAGCCACAGCGAGTGTTGTCCGGCGATGCCGCCTGATGTGAAATATGTATCCTCAAAGCACCGGCTTATCAAGGTTGAAACCAGTGCTGGCAGTGATGATGCAAGCGAGAAGCTCAACAAAGCCTCCATGCAGCTGGTGACCTCTGCCCCTTCTGGAAAAGATAAAGTAAGTGTTGTGCTCCTCTACCCATCCTCATAGACTAGATAGTACAGCTGGAACTATGTCAGTCCCTGGAAGGATTTTTGGTGAGGGGACTAGCTCCTGTCTGAACGCATATAGAGCAGCCACTGCTCTCTACCATGTTTCACTGCATGGCCTGTCCCTTTCTAATATCTTAGGGCAAGGCAGGGCATATGCTGGCACATGAAATGGTGGTGCCCTGTCCTCTTGGCTTTCAAACTCATCTCCTGTCTCATGCAGCAAGTTTGCAGGTGTGCCTAGCCCTTTTCTGGGACACAGTGCACTACCAGTCTCATGACTGGTACCAAGCTCTTGAGTTAGCATGCTCCTGCAGAACAGGATGTGATTCTTTGAGGGTTTCCTTGTGGTTTCCTAGAGTCACTTGAGAAGCCTGTGCTTGTGACCCAAAGTTGTGGGCTCTGCCCCAGTGCATGTGATATGCAGTGGTCATACATAAAAAAAAATTATAAAAAATAAAATCTGATGCCATTTCGAAGTCACACTGTCTGTTTTTAAGGTAACAATTTATCATGTGTTCAGTAATAACTTCTTTGCCTTCTAGTTCAGCATCAAAGGTGAAATAGTTCAAAGCGTCACAACTTGCACTGTGTTTCCAGCTGGCAGGTACCTGAGGCAAACTCTATAGCTACTGGCTCAGCTGCAAATGTTCTCGTATCTTTTACTGGTTGTTCTCTACAAATATTAACAAAATACTTTTGGCACAGCACTGGTAAGTGCTGGGCTCAGGAACTCAGGTTACAGGTCGAAAGCTTTGCAGAGGGAAGTAGTGCTAATTATTTTCTAAGCACAGCACATATTCCCCCTGCCTCTGTTGGTCCGGTGAGATTAGTTTAGTTTTTTCATATTTCTCAATTTTATAAATTGGCATTTACAATTTGAGTGTAATAGTCACATGACAGAATTTCTAAGTGTGTGGTTAATTTTACGTTTGATCTGTGTGTACGTGTTTAAAATGTGTAAAATGATTGTACTGACTAGTGACACATTTCCATGACAATTTGATAAATTGTATCCAGTCTAGGTGGAAATTCAAATAAATCAGCTTGTAATGTTAATAACACAAAATTAAAAATCCAGAATTTATATATGATATTATATTTTGTGTCATTTTAGATGTAGTTCCTGACTGGAAGCAATTTTTTTTGTGGAAATGATTGATTAAAGTTAGAGTCTCACTATGTTACAGTTCCTGTATATTTAGTCCTTTTGCAATTGTCTGTGTTGATACTATTTATCTGCTCTTAGGCAAATACTTTCAGCAACTTCATGTTTCGGAGAAAATAACTTTTTCAGGTTAAATGTTTCGAAGTGCAACTGCTATTAATTTCTTTAGTAGGGCATGATTTTTTTTGTTATCTTTCAATTTTAGGTCCTACTGAAGCCACTTACGAAGCAGAAACTACGTCTCTTGCTAGGTATCCTGCTGCCTTGTGTGATCATGAATCTGTGTGCTGCTCCTAAGGCCTCATGCAAGTTTTAAAACTTGTTTCAAATGAGAGGCATACATTTGTGGGGGTTTTTTTGGTTATTTTTTTAAAATGCTATAGAACACTCATGTCATAGTTGCATAATTTCTGTTTTTGAGAGAACTGCATATGACAAGAGGGAAATCTTAAATTGTCTAATAATTGTCCCTTCACCTCAAAATATAAGTGTGCCTGCCCTCACCCACAACAGGATTTAGTTGTAAGGAGCTACTTAGCTTGCTTTTTGTTTTGTTATTTCCTCCTGGTAGTGGAAATGAATTATCTTATTTCACTGCCCTGAAATGTAAAGTCTGACAGGTGAGCCTGGTAAGCAGCGGTTGTAGTGCACTGGCCCAGAACTGCTTCTTTTCTGTAATTTTCTGAGGACAAATGTCTCTCATGAGGCCTGTCACTCGCTGAGGAGCAAAAATGAGAAATTTAGTTGAAAGATAGTTCAGTGGTAAATAAAGCAAGTGGAAATAGACTTCTGTAAGAAGCATGTAGCAGAGGGCCCTGTAAAGAGTGTCAAAAAACCTAGAAGACTGATATTCTGAAGACTTGATAGAACTGTTAAAAATTTAGAGGGGAAGAAAATCAGTATGAAGAGGTCAGTGGTGTGTTAAACGTGAAAGAGTTACTAGAACAAGAAGGAGATTCAAGACAGTGCTTGCTTGGAGTGGTTACTTATAAAAGACAAATGGAAAAGTGTGAATCAAAATTCCCAGGAAAAAGACGATGATTCAGGGAGTAGCAATGTCAGGCATGATTTTATTTTCCAAGATTCCAGGCATAGGTTTTAAGTGTAACCACAGAGATGTAGTGTATTTGGGCTTCAGAAGACTTTGGTATGTAGAGATAGATGTACCGACTATAGTTGAAGGAAACAAACCCGAATTGCCATGCATCTTTAATAGTGAGGTGATTAACCTCTACCGCGGATACCCAAGTCACCATTGCAAGATGTCTTTTAATTTGGATGGGTGGGTGGATTTTTTAATTTATTTAGGTAGTACAAATAGGCTTGAGTAAAACTGAACACAGGACTGAGGAATGGGGAGCCTTGGACTGACTTGTGACTTTCCACACAGGATAATGCAACTCATTGAATCCTGAGCTGTGTGAGCGGAAAAGCTAATCATACAGAGTTTTCCACCACCATTGTGTTATTAGGAAAATTATGAGGGGAGCTGTGGTTGTTCACTCTTTGTCACTAAGCCTAGAGAAGCCTTGTGATAATAGGCAGCTCTTGCTGGCTTGGTATCTTGAGGCTGTTGTACGGGTCTATAGGATAGGATTGTAGAGTGACTTGCTTGAAGCTGGAAAGCCTATACAGAGGGACTTCTACCACTCTGAAGTTAGAGCATTTAGTGTGCTAGAGAAGTCTACATGCTTCTGTTGCTGAAGGGAAGGTGAAAGGACACAGCAACAGTTTGCAATTGCAGCTGGAGATGAGGCTGAAACACCCTAACTAGTGTGACTAGATGTGTGCAGACCCCTGGGCTGTGTTTCACTTTGAAGAGTGATAGACTGGAGCTACACAGCTGAGCCTCTGAATCAGAAGAAGGGTGCACCTATTTCTCTCCTCCCCTCAGCTTTCAGGTGCAGGAAGAGGAGCTATGTGGCCATACTGCTGCTTAACTGGTTGGTACCATATCTTTAACAGGTTGGGTGGGCTGCAGGGGTGTCCCTAAAACTGTATCACTGCATGCAGTAGCCTTCCAGGTCCTAGTACTGACATGCTCATGACAAGCTTGACTTTTGTGCTTTGCAATTGGTTTACTTCTTCCTGCTTCTGCATAATTTCAGCACTTAATCTTTCTGTTTGTTGATTGCTATGAGAATCTGTACTCAAAAAAGCAAGCTGTGGGAGAGAAGGAAGTAATCCATTGCATTTGCTTATCTTTGCTGGTTCAGTGGTGATGACTCCGAGCTGATTTCAGGAGCTGACACCTTTGTGGAGACAGAAGAGAAAGCTAGATGCTATAGTGCAATTCATGCTCTTGCAATATGTGTAGATTGCTATGTCACATGTGAAGACCCGGGAGCATTTCTTCTAAAAGTTAGATTTGCTTCTGTGCACAAGTGCTAGTTAACTTACAGAAGGAGGAACAACTAATATTATTAGCAGTAGTGAGATATTTCCCTATGATTACACTCTTGTCTTTTTGTTTTTATGTTCAGCCAGAAACTCTAGTTAAAGTTTTCAGACTGATAAAGCTAGTAACTGTAGGAGGAAGGGAGGAAGTATTTTGTTTAAACTCACAAGAAAACGACAGTCTGCATATGACTAAATGTTAGGTAAAGCTAAATTGGATAGTGCAGGAAAAAACATTTAAAAATTAATGCAGTGTCAGAATTTGCATGGGTGGGAAAAGAAGGCAGGTGAGAAGTCAAAATGCTAACAGCAGATTTATTGCCTTACAGATTCTGACTTGAAATACACGTGAAAACTGCATCGTGGATACTAGTAATGCCTGTGGAAGGATTTTCCTAAATTGCTAAGCTAGGTCTAGAACAGTTGATTGGTCTTCCATCTTCATGGGAGCCGTAATGTCTGTGAATGGAATCCAAATACCTATTTAATCACATCCTGTGGTATATACCACCACTGTCTGATATGAAAATGTTGCTATAGTCTGCCAGGTTTATTTAAGTAAATTTAAGTTTTCTTGTTATATATGTTGAAATTATTTGTAATGTGTGTGTAAATACATACACAAAATATGCTAGACTTATATACTAATCATTATTATGTGTTATATTGCTGAGAAACAGGTTGTGGGTCTTCCATCTTTGGAGACTTTCAAAACCTGTATGGTTAAGACTCAAACAACTTAATTGCTGGTCACATGTTATGGGTTGGCCTGGTTGGATTTTGGCAATGGAGGGGAGCTGCAGGGTGGCTTCTGCAAGAAGCTGCTAGAAGCTTCCTGAGTTTGATAGAGCCAATGCCAGCTGGCTCTAAAGAGGGACCCGCCGCTGCACCAAGGCTGAGCCTATCTAGGAGAGGAACACCTCTGTGAAAACATATTTAAGAACAGGGGAAAAAGAACTGCGTCACAACAGCTGGCACAGAGATGGAGGAGTGAGAATATGTGAAGACACCAAGGTCAGTTAAGAGGGGGGAGGGGAGGGTGTGCTCCAGGCGCCGGAGCAGAGAGTCCCCCAGGTCGTGGTGAAGACCATGGTGAAGCAGGTTGTCCCCCTGCAGCCCATGGGTGGGGTGTAGATGTCCACCGTGGGGCAGAGGACCCCACACTGAGTGGGTGGATGCCTGAAGGGGGCTGTAGCCCGTGGGAAGCCCGCATCAGAGTGAATTGCTGCCAGAACCTGTAGCCCATGGAAGAGTGAATGCCCACACTGGAGCAGGTTGGCTGGTGGGACTTTTGTGACACTGTGGGAGAGTCACGCTGGAGCAGTTTCCCCTGAAGGACTGCATGTCAGACTCACGAGGGGTGGGTTGCCCCTCGTGAGGTGTCTCACGTTGGGCAGTTTGTG